GACAATGCACATATGGTAGCTACGCGGGGAACCTTAACCTGTCTGTGGATGTTTTATGTATGAGCATATGTTTTGTGACAGCACGGTCAGACCTTTTTAACATAAGTGCACTGTCGGCAAAGTGGCCAGGCTTGTTTGTTGCCTTATATTTTCAACACATATCTTTACCGACCATTATTCTCTAGCAGCGCAATGAACAATACAACGTGAAGCAGCCTGAACCCAGGAAAATGATGCCTAAGGTCATCTCTACTGTCTGTATTTTATGGGTGGTCGGAGTATCCGGTGCTGCAAGATCAACACAGCTTAAACCATACAGTAAATATGTTCATTGGCTCCTATATATGCATGACTTTTTAACCCTAATATTGCACAGTTTTATCATTGAATGCGGCTGTTTGCTTCTGCTTGTTTTTTTTTTGTTGATTCATAACGCTGGACGACTGAAAGCAATAATTACGCTAAAACTCATAGATGAATGAAGATCACAAGGAGCATGCTACTGTAAGATTATCAGAAAAAAATGTAAGCATTACTAATATTGTCATCAAAACCAGCCAACTTCAGATATAGGTTTGCAAACAACAGCTAATCCCCATCGTTTTGAATTACGTATTATAGACCGACCGCTTGATATATTAGCAATTGATGGTCAGTATGACCAAGTTAAGCCCTGGTAGTTTAACACAGCTGGATGCGTGTGACCTTGAGGTAATTTAGAATATAGAGAGGAGAGGTGTATAGAAGCTGTTTTCGGCAAGCCCTGCGTCCCCATACAAATAGTCACGGCTGCACAACCACAGTTTACTTTACTATACAGATTGAAAAGAAATGTACGTTATTGTACATGCAATAATGCGAAAAAAAATTTACGAGATTTTATTTGTAATTTCACAATCACACGTAAAGTATATCAGTTAGGCCTTAAAATACCTGTTATGTGGCTAAGTTTGTGTACTACCATGCATACAGGACCGTACCATCGCACAATACTTCTCAAATATGCCCGCTGTAATTTTAAAGTATGCACAAGTTTTACGTTTGTATATACACCAACGTTTAGTCTGAAGGATCAACTTCAGTCGTGGCTGTCACTGCACTTTTCTTGAGCTGCCATAAAACATTGATGTTGGTGAAAACTGTAAAACGCCCGACTCAGATAAGAATATATTTCGATTGGCTTTTTCGTTCTATCAAAAGAGCCTGGATCATAGTGAATCCACATAAAATTCTTGTTCATAATAAATTATTGTGAACAAGGCTCTCATGTTGGGACTGAAGGCTTCCAGTATAGAGCTACATATTCAGCCTGGGTTGCGTATAACTTTTTCAGCAATGATTCATTCCGACCAGAGCGAATATTGTCATACCCTCGACGTCAGCAAAGGATTGTTATGAAGCTACCTTTCAGCTAAAATTTGCGTATCACCCACTCTTCGAGGTTCTTATGATTGATTGATTGATTTGTGGGGTTTAACGTCCCAAAACCACCATATGATTATGAGAGACGCCGTAGTGGAGGGCTCCGGAAATTTTGACCACCTGGGGTTCTTTAACGTGCGCTCAAATCTGAGCACACGGGCCTACAACATTTCCGCCTCCATCGGAAATGCAGCCGCCGCAGCCGGGATATGAACCCGTGACCTGCGGGTCAGCAGCCGAGTACCTTAGCCACTAGACCACTGCGGCGGGGCAGGTTCTTATGAACCAAAATGTAGTTTTGGGGCATTTGATGAGAGTGCAATTATTTTATATAAACTTCAGCATAGTTTTGATATTAACAAATGCGTTTTGTTGCTTTAGTATAAATGTATATCAACATATGGTTGTTGCGAATTCGCAGGGTCTCTTTTATATTCGTGCGAGACGACTCGAAGGCCAGAAACCTTTTCGTTTTTTATTTTCCTAGCTGGTGTATTGATACTTCATTGCGTCTTACCAAAGCTTTCTCTACATTTCCTGGTTTTGTACTGCTTCCATGTTCTGAACCATTGCAAGTTTTCTTCATTTTTTTCTTAGCCGAGCTATTGATACTTCCATGCGTCTTTCCAAAGTTTTCTCCACATGTCCTGGTTTAGGTACTGCCTCCGAGATTGCAGACATTGCAAGTTTTCTTTGCCTTACTTTGTTTAGCGTGGTCTTTGTGATCACACCACTTTTTACCAAGCAACGATGGCATTAGATGACGCCGTCATACCTTGTCGCGTTACGGGACGTTAGGTTGACGCCTGCAGCTTCGGCCACTTGAGTTGTCAGTAGAACGTCATTAGTAACGTCGTCACATTGATATGGTTTCTAGCGTCACACGTGATGACGCTGCGGACGCGAAACACCGACGTCATGGAGGATCCGTTTTTATGTTCGTTGAGCCTTCTAATGCTTCCGTCATGACACTGATTCTTTGTTTAAAGATATGCAGAAGAAGTATATTCATCGCGATCTCAGCACACAAGAACTCGCTTGAAAGTGTGCAAGCTTCGCCGTGAAAGTGCGTTCTGTCTGTAGCATGAGCACTTTCTTGTTTAGAACGAATATTCCTGTTCGGTAAGTCACTGGCGCGGACACACCGTTACAACCGCACATATTGACAGTATAGCATCATGTCCACAGCATAACTTTCACGACTATTTCTATTCCCGCCAATTTTTTTTGCTTCCCCATGGTTAATTTCGATTCGGCCACTAATACTGCACAGTTCTAGTAATCGGGTAACGTGGCCGCTAGTAATACTACTTTCAGTAGGTTATCTGTACACAGTTCAATGAATTTTTAACTAGATTCCTTGCTGTATCTTTGTTGTTTTTGATAATACGACACGAACTACAATCTTCCACATTAAAAAGTTTGAAGTCATGGTAGTAATTTCTGATTAACCTGTTTTTTTTTTGCGGTCACAGTTTGGGGTTGTTTCAGATGTAATGCTAAATTATTGCACAATATTTAATATTAATTTTGCCCTGGGTATTATTACATAGAATAACAAAAGCAGGCTCCTAGTTTGGTGTCCAGAATAACTTAGAGCAGCTTCGGTACATTGACGTGCAACGAGGTATAAACATCCAAGAGTTGCTCGTGGTTTGTCCTCATCTGCACATTAATATGATTGAAATGTTGTTGTTAAAAAAAACAGGCACTGATTACAGCTTTGTTTTCTCTCTGAAGGTGCCAAGTGTACAACACGCTTTTCTTTTTCGGAAACCCGAAACTGCAAACCCGTGAAATATTTTTATAACAGCAAATCTGGAATCTGTGAGCCAACTTGCCAGCAAGACGCTCTATTCAGCGCAAGAAATGAATGCGTGCAAACATGCAGAAGTAGTAAGTACACTTGCTGCATTAGAACATAATATATATATATATATATACATATATATATATATATAGGAGCAAGAAAGGCATTGTTTATCAAACGAGCAAGAAAGCGAAAGTTACGTTTATTTCTAGTAATTACCTGTGAATTGGTCTTAATTAGTTCGACGTTGGCACTTGTGAGGTCACCTCGCACATGATAAATGGAAACTCCTGGTAGTACTTCAGATGATGATGATGATGGTGTTGAATATCAAATGAGCTCTGCACTATCGGTGCATGTGTGCAAATTTTGTGTTGCGTGGGATTGTATTCGGTATCACGCTGAGTAAGCTGCGCAGGTATAGACACGACCACTCACGCAATAAATTGCGACTTCTGATAACGCTGCAGTTGATGATTATCTTTTCTATGAAGTTTTGCGTATTAACTCTCCCTAAATCATAGACGAGTTAGGGCTGCACATCCACAGGAAAAATACCAGCCATGATAGGTCAACGTCCGCCGCCACAGCATCAACAGCGTCCTTTCTGCAGCTTTATGTTTCATAGGTGTAGGTGCATATACTGCAATATAGCTTTTCATTGAGATTGTCGAGCCAAAACTGCCCTATCAGTACGAGAAAAGCCGTAAAGCAGAGCACCAGACATTTCTAGCCTTAATGGTTCTTAACTTTCCCTCAATGTACTTTTACTTCAATCTTCGCTTCAAGCATTATCAGCTCCATCGAAAATGTGGCAGCCGATGCCAATATTCCATCTCAGGGCATTCTGCTTATAGTACAAATGCTGCGATTGGGGTGTTATTTGTGTGTCGCGAAGGTTCTTTCAAACTACCTATCTATATAGGGGCATGCCTTTTAGTTATTCAGAATCAGTGGCCCAATGATAGCTTTACTTTTCACTGCTTAGGACAGCGCTTACACTGCGTTGACAGCAGAGCCCGAACTGCTGCGACTTCTATTCTTGCCGTTTTCTACATGGTTATGCCAAAATTTTTATTCCTCATAATGTGTTAAAAAACAAACGAAAGAAAAAAAGAGCCCTTTTAAATTCCTTTCGAACACATCTTTGACTGAGAACCCACAAATGGCCATATTACAATAAGCATAGCTAAATAAACAGCCTCTTGTATCCCCTGTACTTGCAACGAGCATCATGAGACACGTTCTGTCAAAAATATAGGATGATGCTCTTCCAGCTCTTTAAGCTGTGATGGATGTACATACGTGATAACTTTTACTCTGTTAGTATTCTATAAAAATTTTTAAATTGCACGCTGAGTGATATCAATAAGTAATCTCGATCATATATAAAGAACACAAGTTTGTATATCTGATATAGCGCTAGAGAAGGGCCGTAAAGTTTACCGGAAAAGGATAATGTACGCAGTGCAAATACGTTGCGCATAATTGGAACTTCATGTAAGTATTAGGGTTTGCTCTGCTTGGGTATCTTTTGTATTCAATAATCTTGTAATACGCTGATAACATTTTGATTGTGCTTGACGGTTCGTAGTAATATTTTCACTTTTAAACTCCAGCTATTGTCTGCTTCATTCGAACACAGCGCCAACGCTGTCATGGTCATCCAAGATTCATTGTATTTCGTTTCAACGTGTACAAAAGAAAATGCTATGCCAGGAAAGGCTGTTCTTACAACGGGAACAATTTTCCCACTTTGCAAGAGTGCATGAACACTTGTGACGCAGGTAAGCTAATGAAAATATCACTTGGCCGGTGCCAAATAAGCGTCGGTCTTTACTAAATGTTTAAGGCTTGTTGAAAGTAGCCTGCGAAAACGAAGCGCCATGAAGAAGTTCCTGGCTAGAGGGTTGGTTGAAAAGTTTGGCTTCACAATGTTATTATAGACAGCGCTGTGTGGTCGGTGTGCTGCACTTAAATTTATTGTTGGACATGAGGAAAGAAAACGCCATTAAACTTTGCAAGCAGACAAAGGGTATACCAGAAGAACTTTTTGTCTTGGTCCTCTAGAGAACTGTATCCGGTCATTCTAAAGAACTTCATTCCTGGCTAGTTGGTTCAATATTACCATTCTTGTTCAGCTTATAAAAGATCTCGAAAAACTTTGACAGATAATACGCAACTTAGAAATCGATAATATGCGAAGCATGATAGGGCAAGTTTACTATGCTGATTTTTTTTTATTCTGCTAAATTTTACCAAACGATGCGAAAGGTATCTACAAATAATCTACGCATAGACTAGTTTTGGGCTATCACATGTTTCATATAACCAGTTGTTAACAGTTGCGTAACGATTCCAACAGCAACTTGGGTATTATAAATACCAGAATTGGTAAGATGATATTTCGCGCTTGTGTTCACGAAAAAAAGTTAGGCCTTGAGGGTATTACATAAATCAACTTCAGTGGAAGGTTGCTAACTAAAATTCACGTTAACTCTACATGACGGCTGTATCACATGAGTACACTTTATATTTATAAAATTAAATAACCAACACTGCAACCATAGTTAGTTGACGTTCCACTAACACGAGGGCCTTACTTGTAAAGCAGTTCTTTGACCAGGGAAGCTATGCAGGATGGCCCGAGCTTGGCGAAACCTTACATTTTTTCGAACTTTGGCAACACCCCCTTTTCAACGAGCCAACAGTACGAAAGGGTCAAATCCCCCTCTCAGCGCACGCTGCGTTCTATTGGTAAGGATAGAACGCGGCTTCACATCAAGCAGAGTCGACAAAGTTATGCGATGTTTCCTAACCAGAGATCTCTTCTTTCAATTATTTTTCGTTCCTCTGAGTACAGAAGTGCCACATTAGATAGGAGTGTTAGAATCTTGTACTGGTGGGTTAAAAACATGGGTCATTTTAATTCTTTTTAAAGTGTTGAAAATCAGCACTAAGTATACTGTAAATAACAATCAGGGTGACCTGTGAGGTTTTTGCTGGTCAAGCGCCTCACAAAATCGCTACCGCGGCTGAACCCGAGGCCACACATATAATCCTTATGGTTGGCTCCATCGAGAGTGTAGTACTGCGACGATCGCTCTCTGAAGCGTTCAGTATGAGGCCAAGGGACGGCGTTTCAGCTTTCCCATAATAGAGTTCCGAGTACTCAAATTGTTAACCACTTTTTTTTAGACTCTGTACATTCCAGCCCACTGCTCAGCCGGTGAACGCCCTTTTCGTAGCTTTCATCGTCTGCTATCTCTCCGAGCAAGTGGAGTCGGCGGAGTAGCTTATTAGCTGGGTGGTATAAATGGCTACTTAGGTCACGACGTGCTACAATCAAAGTAATTGCGTCTAATCATGCGAAGACCGAATCTAGGACCATGATGGAAATAGGTTGCTTCATGGAACTCGGCATAAAACTCTTTAGTGTAAAAAGTGTAGCGCTACGTTTGACGAGAACAAAAAGAAAAGTACAACGCAGGACAGTGCCTGTTCTAGACAGCACAGCGCTCAACGTGTAATGTACTTCTCGTCTTGTCTTCGTAAAGTGTAGCCCGACAATTTTAACATCAAATGGTATTATGCCAGTGTCATCTAAGGCTTTCGTAACGCATAACTTCATGGAAATGACGTAAAAAAATACGCGCGTTCAGAATGCAACGAAAAAAAAAGGTTCCGTGAACGGGGTTGAACCCATCACTTCGGGGTCCATGACAATTGAACCATGGTCACACGTTTTATTGTAATGTTAATAGAATGCCCCGTTGTTTTTTCTTTGTTCATCATATCATGCTCTGCGCTCTTTTATTAATGAATACCAACCAACTTGTCCAAATATATGTTCTCATATACATCATTCTTGTGAAAAACTAACAGGTGCAGGCTCGATCAAAGTGAGTGGTGGTGACGAGGAGGGTGGCAGCTCCTCGGAGCCCAAGTACGCCAGCAAGCCGCACTTTCCCAGTTACCGGCGCTAACACCGGGAAACCTTGCCAGGCCCTTTAGGCCGGAGTTGCCGAGTATAGGAAAACATCCGAGAAAATTACAGCTACCCAAGGAGAAACCACCCCTTCGCGGAGTTCCTCCCACGTTTCCAGAACAGAGTCCGACTCCGCCCACAAATACGGAAATCCAGTCTGAAGTGCAACTACGAGGTAACTACATTTTTATTATAACACTGACACTGCAGTTAAACTTCTTACGGGTGTCATAGCCTAGTTCATAAAACAGGAATAAAACTGTTGTAGAGCTTCAGGAATACTCTACTGCGCAAAGAGAACGTCGATTCATCCGAACAGTCATTTTTGTACGTCATAACCTAATTGATCATTCCATCCGCTCTTATGCTAAAAAGCAATTTCATGAATTCAGTACCATGAGTAGGACCGAATCAGTTACGGTTTACAATAAAAAGTACAGTATAATTAGCGAGCACTCATATTACCTTAGCTAGAATAGTACTCTTGTAGCAGTAAAGATAATCATGGGCTCGAAGGTTTTACCTCGAATACACAAAATGCTTGTTATTATTTTTGTAGATATTACAAGGAACGTGAGCGATAAAGTAACAGCATAATTACAAAGATCATTTACCGTTGGTCGGTAGTGCGATCCTACTAGACATAACACCAGATCAAGATAAACGCAGACCGTCACTGCTAGCTCTAGAAACAATGAAGTGTTCGCGCATCTGAGTAAAAGGTAGGGCACAACCGTTGTGTAAAATAATAACATCTTTTGAAATGAAAAATTGAAACCAATATACTGAAATGCTTATAACATTTTCTGACTTCGTGCTGGGTGCATTCAAATAGCTTTCGTCTCATGAACTAGCTCGAAAAATCTACAGCTATACTTTCTTTTTTGTGAAAACATTGTTACAAGCCTGTGTATGACTGTCCTCTTTTTTTCTCTCTTCCTTCAAGATCCACGGTGTGCTGTGAGGTTATCAAATACGACAAGTTCCTGCAACACGTCCAAGTTATACTTCGATCAGAACACGCATCTCTGCAAAGCTACCTGCTCCGAACTGGCTCCTTTTGAATCTAGATCAGAATGCAACAGTATATGCAGAAGCGGTGAGATTTTGATGTTTAGAGGAATATAAGCAGGCTTTTTTGAAGAATGGGCATTTTGTTCATGATGGTGACAGCAAACAGGACGCGAAAAGCAAGAAAATGTGACACAAGGGCTGCCTAACAGCTGAAAGTTTATTGTAAAAAGTCTGGCCTATATGAACAGACAAGAAGGCACTAACAATGCATTATCTGCCCCGACCCAAACATCTAACCGTGCATGTTGTAGATACAAAACCTCAGCACCTGTGATTGCCCTATCAGGCTGGCTCACGCACTTGTCTTTTTTTGCTTTTATTATCACATCTGTTCGATGATTTCGTGCCTGCGCTGGTCCTTGTGCCTGATCACTAAAGCGATCGCGTCTAGCTCAGCTACGCAATTACACTGCCCAGAAATGGAGGGACAGATGCGGGGGTGGTGCACATGCAGAGAGCTAGCCTGCTCTCTTAAACGGATGTTGAGACATTGTCCAGCCTGCCTGTTGTACGTACCACCGCAAGAGAAAAGCATAGAGTAAAACGCTTCCAGTGCTTCTTACAGCACGATTTCACTGCTGGTAGCAGCCCTACTCTTCTACACCTTTCCCTTCTACAGTTGGCGCGAGACAGAGGGCCGCAAGCGCTGAAGTGTGCTCTGTAAAGCATCGAGAGCGTTTCCTCCACTCCGCCAGTGGAGTGGTGTACTTCAGAATAGATGCATTTTAAAGTAAGATTTAAAGATGATGACCATGATCTTGAGGAGATCACTTTGTTATTTGCATTCCTCTTTCGCCGTTGTTTTCTGTTGAAGGTACACCTGCATACTTCTCTTTTGTGAATTCCAGCTGTGGTCTGTTTTGATAAAAGACAACCTGAACCGTGTAAGACCAACGCCAAGGGCATTGCGTTCTACTTTGATGCCCTCAAGGGAAAATGCTACGCGAGGTCAGGATGCAGTTACAGAGGGAACAACTTTCCTACTATTCAGGAGTGCAAAAGCACATGTACTCCATGTAAGTACCAGAAAAGAATTTTACACTTACAATAACAGACTTTATTTAAGGCACAAGATTCGATGTTGAGACTTATGGGTGTTAAGGGACCTTTCGGTTGGAGACCAACTGCCTCAGAACTTATGGGACTGTCCCGACAATTGATACAGGTTTCCACAGTCCAGATCCGTCCCTGTCTGGACAGTGATACATCCCTGATCACTTTCGGACTATCCAGTTAGAAGTATTATGAGGCCCACCCAATATACGCCGAACAACAAGCGTCACGCTACGGAACGCTAAGTTAGCCTGAATCGCAACGAAGCAAACTAGGAATGGCTAGCGGTGGCTGCGCGAGGCCTTTCCCGCGTAATTTGAAATTCTCCTTGGCATGAACTTCACTTGTCACCACTGTCAATGCAGCACAGGCGCATTTCGAACACGAAGTTTTAGCTGGCGCCAAAGGAGCACACACGCTCAAGCGCGTTTCAAACGTGCTGCATTGAAGGCGGTGGTCGGTGAAGTTCGTGTCAAGGATCATTCCTGAATATGAGGATAAGCCACGCTAGCCGAGCTTCCATGTCAAGTGCGGCAATACTTACGAGCACATTCTCCAGTAGAAGAAAGTACTCAAAACAGCGTATAATCAGCTGAACTACTACTTCAAGAGGCTGCAACAATAAAAAACAAATTTGTCGAGAGAATGTCGCAATAACTAAAACTAACTTTACTATCTCCCAATGGTATTGTATGCATCCCCTCTACCTTCCACCATCCCGATTTCCCTAATTGAAGAGTTGGTAACCCAACTCTCCATAGACCTATCCAAACGTTGTGCAGTGTTCTATTGTTGTTATTCTAATAAAAAGGACAGCTACATTTTTCAGGTACAGTTGAATTTCCTATTGATTACAAGCTTTGGGATCTCGTGCCTGCCACGCACTGCAGGACCACTGCAGCTTTTCGAAAGATAAAAAACAGGGAAAATTGTTGATGACGGCAATAAACCATCTGGTATAGCGATAAATTGAAAATTACTGAATTTTGTAATGAAAGCAACAGCACTACTTATTGAGAAATATGTAACAGAAGCTTCATGAAGTATACATAAACTTTACGTCTAGCTTACATTCTCGAACCTTTTTAAATGAGCCCGAGAACGTGTTTCTTGCTTCTCATAGAATATGTTACTGTTGGACCCTATCGCCTTACGAATCTAATTCGGTGACAACTAAAAGCTGTGGTTGTATTTTTATGTATGTTCGGCTCCGTGCCTCGAGGATGTCTTTTTTTTTTTACAGTACTACTGCTAAATCTGCCTCATAAGAGATGCATTCTATGTGAATAAAGCGTGACAAATGTCATAGTGATGCCACCGAGCCTGTCCATCCACCATTCCATACACAATTGCTGGGCCGGTAGACTTTGATTATCAAGAAGAGAGCAAGAAGATTTGTCCCGTTTTAACACAATGTTTTAATTTCTCTGTCAGTTTAGGAGTGCTTGATTGATTGAAATGTGGGGTTTTACCTCCTGAAACCACCATATGATTTTGTGAGACGCCGTAGTGGAGGGCTCCGGAAATTTCAACCACCTGGGGTTCTTTAACATGCACCCAAATCTGAGCCCACACGTCTCAAGCATTTTCGTCTCCACCGAAAATGCAGCCACTGAAGCCAGGATTCGATTCAATGACCCGCGGGTCACCAGCCGAGTACTTTAGCCACTAGACCACCGCGACGTCGCAGTTTAAAAGTGTTATTACCTGAATTAAGAAAACAGGGCAGAAAGAATCACCATTTTTCTCGTTTGTTTATTCCGAAAAATTGACACTACTGAATCAATCATTCACTTCTACAACAGTGCAAAATTACAAAGCTCAGGTTGTAACAGAAACATACGTACATTGCCAGTGTTTTCTAGCTAAGTTAGGTTCGGCTGTCTTCACTTGTTTATACCAGCGACGGTTGAATTATTATCGCTACAGAGATGTTATACTTATTAAGATGACCTCACACTATGCAATATTTTTGGAAAAAAAATATTTGATGAATCCAGTTTCATTACAATGTGCCAGACGCAGGATACGGAGGTGCCACAAAAGTAATCAACGCAAGTGCTCTTGGTCTAAGCAACATCACGCCATCCCAACCTGTGAATAAAGGTGAGCCACACCATACAATGCGGTGTAAAAATCTCTACACATGGTACTTTTAGAAGTTTTACTAACGAAACATTGGACTTCTTTTGATTTAGGTTTTTTTATATTGTAATCAACATTTCACATGTGTTACTACTTCATATAACTGCTCTCAAACCGTCCTACTTCAATTACTATGCAAGATATAAGATACAGGCCCTCTCTGACCCATCTTGCACAATATTTAAGCCCTAAAAGACAATGTATGTAAATTGTCAGGTGTAAACTCTACAAGTACGCTATATGAAGTAGAGTACATGTATTCCTGTCTGGTGATTTCTAGCTTTTTCTGCATAAAACTACTTTTTTTGAATTCAAGTTAGCTGTCTTTCCAAGAGTTCCATCTTCCACGACGCTCCGCAAATAGTATAAAAAACGTAATTTAAACAACAACAGAGCGATAAAAGCAACATCGTATGACTGACCGCACAAAGTAACAAGCGTCAGATAGAGTGTACACGATTTTAGAAAGAAACACTAGAGTACAATCGATGCCTAATAAATGAACTTGTACCTAGCATGACAAAATTTTGCAAACGTAACCTTTAAAAATACTGTTCACAATTCCAGAAGCAGCACTTGCACCATCAATAGTACCAGGAGCGGACAAAGAACCTCCAGTTGCAGAGCAGGGAGCGAGTTTGTCGACTACGGCTGGGTTAGTGAGGACACCTACAGTGGTGAGGTCACCCAGCGTCTCAGACACTGCAATCACGCCACTCATTAGCCACAAAGGTAAAAAATGAATTCAGTTCCAGTCCAAAAAAGAATAATTGTAATGTCTGACCCTAAAAATACGCAAGTAATAAAGAATGGCTGTCATGAAATTAAATGGCCTCAACAACATTCTAAAAAATTAGTACAGTATTATGGGTAGGGTTAATTTCTATAGAGAGAAACTATAACACGCGGTAAATGTCGACATTGCTTGAAAAGTGCGTAAAATCACTGCGTGATATTAATCAGAGCATGCACATTTTATAAAGGCCAAAATTATTTAAGCACGTTATAATCCTGCAAGGTATCAAGCTATTGTAGCATTAGAGAAGCATATACCCTAAACGTTGCGTGAAAGTCATCTGGCATATTTCGTTTGATTATAATAGTGTTGGTGATGTGGACAACAACCTATTCCCCACAATTATTTCATAGCAGCCGAGTATTCGTTTTACATGCAAGAGAATATTTTTATGTTAATGATATCAGGAAGAGCTTCACACAAAAGAATTACAGTGCCAGCGAGCGTAAAAAGACGCTGGAGTCAACAAGGCACCAGCGTCTTTATTAGGTTCAATGAAATCACATAGAAGTCTGCGCTGGTCCTCGTCTCTTCTGTTCTCTGTGTAAAGTTTTTCGTGCTGAGCACTTTAATACCACCCCCCCCCCCCCGTGTAAATACAAATTTAGAAATGATATACCGCACCGAAGTTTTGCAATAACCACTTCCACTTTTTGAGAGGAACACCTCCTGGTATTTCAGGCAGAAGAAAGTTTGCAACATTGTGGCACGAGTAAGTTTGTATTTATGGCATTTTAAAGTAAAAAGAGCGTTCTGTGCTAAACCTCCGTAAAATAAAAGCTGTGTGAGGCATAACTATTATTACTAGACCACCTAGCTCTTCTGGTTTGTCCTTCTTACCTTATCCCCAGCTAGCTTCCCACGCGCCCGAGTTCCTGCATCGTTTTCGGTCATGAGCCTCATGACAAAAAGCAGTGAATATAGGTCATTGAATTTTACGTGGAAAAGAAACTATCATAAACTTTAGTACTTTAACTTAAATGTGTCTGTAAATTCTTGTTCAATATTTCTGTATGTGTATCTGGAACAATACTAAATTCTCCAGCACTTTTGCAAGTGTAGTGTTAATCTGCGCTGATTATATGAGCGTGAAAAACTACATGCCCGTCTACAATAAGTGTTTGTGACGTTGATGGCCCTATTTTCGTTCCCCACTTAAAGATCCCCTGTGCCAAATATCTCATCTGAAGTTCGCATCCAGTAACTGCACGCACCGCTATTACTACTTCCATCAAGCGAGCCGCCTGTGCAAGCCGACGTGCTCCGAAACGGCTCCATTCGCTGCACGGTCGGCGTGTGACAAAATATGCAGAAGTGGTGAGTGTGTGACACCTGCAGTATTCTTTGATAGGTCAAAAAGCATAGTTGATCCGTACGTCATCAGAATCGTCCTATCACGAAATTAAAACATGCTCTTACAGAAGTAGCTGAACGTCTTTGGGGTTTGGCAGCTGTGTACCACCCTTAACGTGGATGCACTAATTTTGACACTTGGTTGAACAACTCAATTTTAACGACTAACGTTCACACTCAATGATTAGAGAAACGCTCGTGTTAGAAGCAGTAGTTTAGCGTGATCAGAGTAGCCGTGTGACAGCTGGCACAGCGTCGAAAGATGGGCGCAGTATTTAACGCCTGACTACACACATGTGCGTTGCAGCCCGTCAACGCTAGAATTTTTGACGTGGCGTTGACGTGCTTGCAACGCGTGCATGTGGTCAGGCCTTTAGGCTAGGGGGAAGCGCAACGAGCGTCGTGTCTTCGCTGTAGTCCGGTCGTGATTTCTCTCTGCGTAAGCGTAAGCGGCTGAAGTAGTGTTGCAAGCAAGCGAAGCAGCTTGCCCTGCGCCAAAGAGCTCCTTTTGGTGCGAATGCATGTCGTTATTGACGCCAACGCTTGCAAAAGGTTCCCAACTCGTGGTCTGTTAAGGCGTTGTCCAAATTGCACTTCTATTGGGAACGCACCGAATTCCATAAACGCGCATTACGCAGCAATGATGCGTTGCAGTGAGCAAATCTTGAAGGCTACAGCAACGGTGAGTCACTTTACCGCTCCCAGAGGCCGACACCACCCCGCCGATCAAGAGCACTGTTGAAAGAAAGTGTGGGATACCAAAGGTGTTTTTGTAAAGATCCCATGAATCGCAACCGTAGTAAAGTTAATAGCATACTGGGCATCTCTAGTTGCGGACCGAGTTATCGCGGATATGAAACAACCTGTATCTTGCCACATAATTGTGCACATTTTTCTGGCATCATATACCCAGTGGAATTACGCCAGTGAAGTGTTGGTGGAGCCTCGCATAAATCACTTTCATGTTAAAAAGAGCGATGCTGTAAGCATACACAATTGATAGCTGCTGCATCTACGTTGAGGCAGTTTACAGATAAAGTGCAGCTATTGGTAAACTAGTCCTTATAAAAATACCCTCAATTTCAGTGATCGCAATGTTTACTTTTCACGGAACCGAGAAGAAACTCATTTGCAAAGCTGAACACGCCCCCTCAATTTTCAGCTGTCGTCTGCTTTCACCATATTCAAGAAGAAGACTGCGAATTGCGCCATGAAGCAACTGTCTTCTCATTCGATGCCAAGAAAGGAAGATGCATCACTAAAACTGGATGCTCAAACGAAGGAAACAACTTTCCAACTCTGCAAGAATGCGTGTTGACCTGCGCTGCATGTATGTATACCACACACTACAATTTATGTGGCATGACTGCAGTACGATGTTACTTCCTACAGTCGTGCATGAGGGGGTATCGTCTGAAAATATGTCACATTTTCATAGCATAGTTTCTAGGCAGTCAACGTTACATTCCATGAGAGGAAATAAAGGAAAGCGTAGGTTATGTGCGAGCTTCAATAATTAGCTTGGGATTAAATTGTTCATAATTCTGCTGTAATTCAGCTTCAGTTCTTGCATACAAAGAATCAAACATTACCTCTATAATGCATGCCCAGTCGGTTTTATGGTTGGACTCGTTTCTAGCTAAGAAGAATGCTTTAGCCATTGGTCCGGCCACGCGGCTCATGGAACGCTGATATTTCTGCAGAACAGCTATGTTCTTCAGAACTACGATGCACAATGAAGTTAAATTTACACTGGCTGTACAGTAAACAAGCCCACAGAAATTGGGAAACTGCATGTGATTCCATTTCAAGAATAGCGCGGTGCGTGACACTCCTGCGAGTTTCATGTGTCCAAGTGTAAGCACCGCTGCTGATGGGGTTATCTCTTAGGAAAGTGAAAAGCATAACATTCAAGCAATGCTATTGGAAACGTATAAACCAGATCGTAAATACATTACAACTTTCAACACTCAGCTCTGAAAAGCATTTTTGTAGCGTGTCAAGACGTCTTCACATAAATAAAAAAGTCATGTTTCTTTGATTTAGAGTGAATAAACAAGAAACAGAGGAAGCAGCAAAAATACTATTGAAGGTGTTGGTGTACGAAACACTAAAGCGTGTGATAGGTAGACAACTGCCAGGGAATGAGCGAACGCGAATATACGTTAGAAAGCAAAATATTGGCATTCACATTTGCCCTTTTAACACCCGAATTCTCGTTTTCTTTCAATTTCTTACATTTTATTTGTTTACACATTGAATATTATCAATCGCATAATTTAAAAACATGAACTACTGCATGTCAATAAGTAATATAAGCTGCTTTACAATAAGACTACATTCAAAATGTGTTTAATAATAGCTCTTTAAGATGAAGTATCACGTCAGCCTTGCGTAATAAAGAGTGTTCTAAACTTGTACATAGCGTCAATACCTGTAAATTGACCCATGCACAGACCTCTCCCTGCAATATTACTCTCTTGAGGATAAATTATCTTACGCTAACATTTTCTCTGTCTTGCCAAACGATTTCAACAGACACGGGATTTCAAAGACTTATTCACATCGGTGCCACTAAGCACAATGCTTCTACTCACGAAGGACCGCCTAAACTGCTGCCGCCAAAGCAGCACACTACCAATGAACTTCCAAATAGAGGACTGGTACTGAATGTCTCTGGGAACGTTCTACCTGTTTCGTCTGACACCAGACTGACGCCAGTACAGCCACATCAAGGTATATTATTCAGAAGAAAGTCAAACTTCTAAATAGCCGTTTACTTCATTACTACATGAAACCTTTTGCTGCTTTCATCTTTGTGTGTTTTGTGCGCACTGAACTTATCTGCTAATGAATTCTTACCAACCTGTCCAGCTTTCATTACATTAACAATAGATTGGCGTAATTCGATTGTGTTTTTTTCTTAGAAGCACACCAAAATTCCTACCTAGATAGGCCGAAGTTTCGGATCATTCGTGTACTTGAGATAGCAGAGAACAAACTGCCAGAAAATTTTATGAAGTTGTGCTGAATGAGTTTGTAGAAAGAAGATAGTTTTCATGTTCAGAACTGCGATCGGTACACCTTCTTGTGAATTTCATGTCACCTGTGCCTTTGTTTTGACGGGACCTTCGCAACTTGTTTCGGATGTACTGTGGAGCGTTTCCTGTGTTGACTGTAAAGGCCACAGAGAAGTAGGGATTGCTCAAGTTACCGAGTGTGTTTATTTCAATTGAACATTGTTACTGAAAGAGCTGAGAGGTTCTTTATTGGTATGCAACAGCGAGATAAGACATGCTCACTAGAGAACTATTTGCTTTCATTCTGAAATCTATCCTGTGGAAACGAAAATGCTAAACGCTAGAATCAAGCGTCATCAAAGAAAGTTAAACAAAGCATTAGGACCGCCTAATGTATTAGACCTTTACCCTTCCACTGACAAAAAAGTCGTCATATTTTGAACGGGAATAACCAATCGCGACTGCATTCTTCATGAACAATAGTTTGGCCAACATAAAAAAAGAAAAAGTGACTAAAGTCGTCAGGGCTGTGTTTCATGACGATAGATGGCCATGCCAGTACATATCAGGCGATTTGTGTCTTTGCTTTTGTATAATTCCATTTTTTTTATTTCCATACAGTGTAGCTATCTTTGAGCTACATTTTCTCCGCAATAGTGAAACAAAAATGCCGCATCTAATTGAGACGCTGGTATCGTCTTATTCAGGAAGAAACTCTACATTCAGAGAAAAAACATCTTTGTAAATTTCTTGAAGTTAGGCTTTTTCTTTTGGTATGAAGTGTTTCAATTGAAGATAAAGGTAATATCGTGCGATTCACAAAGAAATAGCTTGAAATAATAACAATGACATCATCCGAAGTTTTACGTCCCCAAAACACGAAATGTCTATGACAAACGCCATAGTTAAAGCCTCTGAAAACTTTGATCATTTGATGGATTCTAGCATACACTGGACTCGCAGCGTACACTGTCCACCATCATTCCACCTCCTTTGAAATGCGTTCATTGTTACCACGTTCAAACCCTCGACCTTCAAATCTCCAACTGAGCACCGTAACCACTGCACCACCACGATGTATGAGTTCGAATCTAAAACCTCGTTTCTTTGAAAAAAACCTGAGAAATACACGGCCAAAATATTTGTCTTGGTGATACGTGAGAAGAATAGTTCGTATTGGTTAACGAAACATCTAAACACCCCAGAAAGAGGTTTTAAATAATCGAAGGCTGTATATCCCTGCACGGCTCATTCACCAATCACATTTGTTACTCGTAGTATGTAATCCGCTGTTCAGAAGAGGTTTTACAACGTTCTTCTTCACTGTTCGTATCAGTTATTTGCACCCTCTCTTTGTTTATGTCTGCTGCAGATCCTCGGTGCACTATTACGGTCACCAATGCGGAGTTCACAAGCTGCCAGACGTATATGTACTATTTTGATTCCCAAACACATCTCTGCAATCCTACTTGTTCCAACTGGGCTCCATTCCGATCAAGACGTGAATGCGTAGGCATTTGTCGAAGCGGTAAGTCACCGTAATTCTTAAAAGATTATTATAGGTTGATTGATTGATTGATATGTGGGGTTTAACGTCCCAAAACCACTATATGATTATGAGAGACGCCGTAGTGGAGGGCTCCGGAAATTTAGACCACCTGGGGTTCTTTAACGTGCACCCAAATCTGAGCACACGGGCCTACAACATTTCCGCCTCCATCGGAATTATAGGTTGGGATCTGTCAATGCTGAAAACCGTAGGTATTTTATTGGGAAAACTGTAATGCATTGTATTCAAGGGCATGCAATGTTATCTATTGCCTGCTTATATGCAATTCTGATTGGCTTAATGTCACCTGTAATATCGCATACATACATGAGCGAACCATAACTGTTTATATAATGATGGTGCATTACGAACACCAATATTGGAAGAGCTATCAGGCCAGCTCTTTTTAACACAGGTTATCAAATGAAACATCATCAACAGCTTGTATTAAAACTGCAGGTAGAGTTTAACGTAACTTCAAAAATATCAGACTCTTATACACAAGTTAACCTATCTAACACGAATTTATATTGTAATCTGACAATTTATTGTTTTGCAGTGCTGGTTTGTTTCGTCAAACGTACTCAGAGTATGTGCAGCGGTGACAGAAACATCACTGTGTACTACTACAATTCCCGCAAAGGGCGCTGCATTGCAGGCAAAAGCTGCACATACGTTGGGAACAACTTTCCAACACTCGACGAGTGTCGACGAACCTGTGGTGCATGTAAGTATTTCTTCAACTGCTACATCTCACTACTCCTACACCGTACTGTCAAAAATAGGAAATATAGTAGAATAAATAATAGAGAAGGAAAGATAGGGAGGTTAACCAGTCAAAATAACCACTTTCTTACCCTTACACTTGGGAAAGGAATGGGGGAGATCGAAACAAGGAGATGAAGAGTAGTGGAGAGGCAGAAAAATTGCACATCTCACTGCACGTACACAAGCACCTATCCAGCAAAAGCCCAATATTCTGGCTTGCTACGCGACATCACTCTCACAGCCGCTTGACCAGGTCCGTCTTCATCAAAAACCTCAGCAGTTTCTTGGTCACCTTCTGGCCCAATGTTCTTTGTCGACGACATGCTAGAACGAATTCTACAGGCATTTATCTATTGACAAGGCGCCCTATAATAAACGCCAATGATCTTCTCTTCACTTTGAAATGCTCACAGTCACCCAGTACAGGGCACAGCCTCTCCCCACAATTACAGGCCTCTCAGCAGGCATTGTCGGTGATTCCGATGCGGAAGAAACATGATTTCGTAAATCCCACACCTATTCATAAACGACAAGGCAGTGTAGGTACTCTTCGACGGAGTCCACTTGGCATATGGATATACATCAAAGAGCGCACGTAGTGTTTATGAGTGGTCTGATTGATTGGGTTGCTCGGTGGGCACCAGCCCGAGCGGCATTAACGGCGTGTTCATTTCCTATGACGTCACAGCGACTTAAAACCCAAAAATAGGAAGATTTTTACACAAACTTTATTATTAACAATACTATTATTAATAATACTAATGTTATACAACAGGTATTACGACCCAAATGCAGTGCATATTTATCAAAGACACGTTACTGAAAGGCCCCAGAAATTTCGACAACATGACCCAAACCTAAGCCCACGGGCCCCAAGCATTTTTGCCTTCATCACCAATGTGGCCACCATGGCCGCAATTCAATTACAGACTAAATAATCTAGTATCTAGATTTCTGGAGGCGTAATCTTCCGCAAGCAAGTGCGTTGTGTAAACGTGAACTTCGATATAGAGTTTCAGTTGGATAAACGTAGCCTGATGCAAAGATGAACGTAGATTTTTTCATGCATTCGGAACACGGGCAATTCATAAATTCAACCATTCGTTATCTCCTGAAATAATTTAGTTTAAATAACCAAATATAAGTAATGAGATTTTAGCTAATCACCTACGTACACAAATTAATAAAAAAATTCTACTGGCTTCTGAAGTTACTGGCTTTTAAAGCCAGTAGCTTCCACATACCAATGGCTAATAGAAATTTTCAAAGTTGCGACTAATTTCCTCACAGCCGATAGAGAGTGGTTTCATTTACGCTTGCATCAATATTGAGAAATATTTCAGTGGTCCCAAACC